AATATGTGAGTATCTGCTGTGTGTCAGGTGCCTGGGGGAATCTGGAAATGGACCCCCTCTTCTTGGAGCTGGGGATTTCAGTGGAATTAATACTCAGACTGGTGGAAAGCAGTCCTCCCACTGCTAACGTCCTAGGATCTGAGAGGAAGCCTCGGAGCACTGCACCAGCCCCACTTCTGATGCAGGAATTGCCAAGTGCAGCGCTCTTGCCGTCTTAGAGAAGCCAATGAGGCTTAGCAAATGTAATAAGCTTAATTAAACTAAGGCTGCTAATCTGGCCACCTGCAAGATTGGACTCTGCTGAGTGAGCAGTGGGAAGACACCTGTGCCCCAGAAGACGCCTCTGAGGACCCTGCGTTGGGGACTGGCATGCAGGAGTGGGGCAGGCTTCCCTGAGCGGGCAGGGTTCAGACTCAGCTGTGTCAACAAGCAACTAGCCTGAAGGTGAAATTGTATCTAATGAAGCTTAGCAAAGCCCAAAGAATGAGGACTGAGAGAAGCAGTTACTGACAAGGCCCTAGCCCAACTACTAGGATTTATCTTCACTCATGAAGTTGAGCTTGGCTGAACCAATTTAAGCAGTTGCCAGGAGACTCTACCATCTTCACTGGTAAGGGTGTTTGTGGTTGCTAATACCGTTTTGAAATGCATACTAGTCATGTTTCTATCTAAGACTATTTCCAAAGTTGAACATGAAAAAGTGGTCAGGATGACATACCTGCAGAAACAACAGCTATTCTTTTTTAAACACCTACTAAGCACTAGACACTGAGTTAGAATATTTATGTGTACAGTTGAAATCCTTACACAAACCCACAAGGAAGCTATTATCCCTAATATTCAGATGGGGAGACAGGCTCAGAGAAGTTAGATGGCTTATCTTAGGGTCTGCTAGAATTTGAATACATTCTATCTGACTCCTCTGTGCACCATGCAACCTCTATCACAAACAGAAGTAGAAGACAGAAGTGTGGGGGACATGGAAGAGTAGTGAGTAGAAGCTGTTAGAAGTTAGGATCCCAGGTGTCTGGGTATTCAGTGCAAGGAGAAACAACCTTCTGTGTTCCATTAGCCCAGTGCAGTAGTGGCAGAAGGATTTTGAGTTACCAAGAGAAGACTGTTTTGTTCAGTGGCTCCTATCCAAAGAAAGAGAAAACAGCGTGTGATGATGCATTTTAGACTTTACCTAGTAGGGAAACACTGAGCCCTGCCCCAAGGTGCCTTTGGGGGGAAGTCCTTGGATGGCAAACCCCAGTGTCCCTCAGGAGTTAACCTCATGCCCCAGGACTCCCGGCTCTGTGAACTGTCTGGGTCCCCTCTCTGTTCCCCTGAACTGCCAAAGGAAGTTAGTAAACGTCCGTCCTAGGACCCTGGGGTCACTGCCTAAGGGAGTCTGGAGTCCTCGCCTGGTTCCTCTACACTGAGGCCGGAGGAGGGAGCGTAGCCACCAGGTGGCGCCCTCCCCTTAGCCAGCGGCGGCCCCAAGCCCCTCCCGGGAAGGCTCAAGGGTATTTTCCATCCTCCTCACAGCTGCTGCTTTTGGTGAATGCTTTGAATCATACCATTGTAAAAACCTAGACAGTTAAAGCAGAAAGGGACTTAGATCTCTGGTCTCATTCCCTTGTTTTACAGATGACCCCAAAGTCCAGTGGGGTCAAGGAAATGCCCAATCTTGTGATCACTCAGCAGGCTCAGCCCCCTTCTCTTGACCACTGGGTCTGCTGCTTTTTCCATCACGCTAACTGTTCTCACACTCCTGGGAACACCTTCCACACCCCACCACTGACCTGCCAGAATACTATCTTAAGCCAAGACCCAGGGCACAGAGGGCTAGAGAGGCCCCCTGACTCATGGTAGACGTGAATCTGGAACCCAGGGACCCCACCAGGTGGAACAGTCCAAAGGACACTCCACATCTCACTGCCCAACTACAGCCCCACTAATGTCCCTGGAAGTCTTGGAACTCAGCAGCTAAAATCGCATGTTTAGGAGACAGACTGGTCTGTCTGGGTCTGCATTCCAGCCCTGCTGCTTAATAGTTATGTGACCATGAATAAATTACCCTCTGTGGCTGTTAGCAGGAGTAAATGAGCCCATGTGTGTTGAGCACTGCTGCCTAGTCCACAGTAATTGCTCAGTAAATGGTGGCTCTCTGTTGATATGATTAAAGCCCCATGTTGAACATTCCTGCCACCCGAGCCTTAAGACCTGTGTTGTCCAATCTGGTAGCCATTTGCCCCGTGTGGCGAGTGACTGCTTGAAATGTGGTCCAAACTGAGATGTGCTGGAAGTATAAAATACACCCCTGATTTTGAAGCCTTAGTAGGAAAAAAGAAATGTGAAAAAGTTCATTAATACTTTCTATTGACTACATGTTAAAATTATGTTTAGACATATTGAATTAAATAAATATTAAGTAAACAACAAAATACATTATTAAACTTAATGTCACCTGTTTCCCTTTACTTTTTTAATGTGGCTACTAGGAAAATTGTAATTACATACATGACTCACATTCGTGGTTTGCATTATGTTTCTACTGCATCATATTGCCTTAGAAGGCTTCAAAATACAGCTGCTGCAGCCGGACCACCCCTCGGTTTAACTTAATGATGTGAAAGTAGGGGCTTTAAGCCAGGTGTCCACTCACTGCTGGGTGCCCTTAGGCCAGTCATTGCAGCTTTCTGTGCCTGTCAAAAATACAAGTTTCCCCTGATAGCCCAAAGTAGAACATTCCCATAAAACTTTCTGTAAGCAGAGATAGCTCAAAGAGAAGAAGCGATTACCATTGATTTGCATAGAAAGTTTTTGGAGCATTTCAGACCCCAGAAGTAACCTCTCGGGTTTTTCTGATACCTTAGGACACATCTTGCTAACAGTTACACAAAGTAAATCGAGATAAAGAAGACGTGCCCACCGACAGACAGTTCGAAGCTTGGGGAAAGAGATGCTGTGTGCGGTTCCTGGGGAGGCCGCTTGGCGGCGCCACTCTGGCTGCTTGGCGTGGGCGCTGCCCCATAAGAGCTGCAAAACAAATGCTAAACGCTGTTTTCTCTTTTTGACTCTTTTCGTAAAAAAGAAAATCCTCTTTGGATTTCTTTCGGTTAGAGAAAACAGATATTAATGTGGGTCTTTCATAAAAACAAAGTGGTATAACACCAACTTTCAAAAAACAGGGCATATCTGTATGTCGTACCTTTCCAAAACAACAAACAAACCAAAATAAGTCCTCAATGCCTCACCAGGCTATTGTAAGGATTAAATAAAGTAATAAAAATAGCTCTACTGTGGACAACATGCTAAGTACTTCACATGCCTTATCTCATTCAGTCCTCACAAACCCCAGGAAGGTAAGGCAATAAGCTCCCTCCCATTTTTAGATAAGGAAACTGAGGTTCAGAAATGTTCAATAACTTGTGTAGGGTCTCTTGGTCACTGCTTTGTTCTATATCCTTAAGAAGTCAAAGTTAAAGAGACAAAGGGAAAAACACAGCTCCCTATTTGACCTTGGGCAAGTCCTTCCCCTTGTGGGCCTCAGTTTCCCCTTCTGTAAAATGAGGGAAATGTTTGGATGTTGGGTAATGATCTTTGAGGTCCCAGTGTTACGGGGTGCTTTGAACATTTCAGTGAACATAAGACTTCTGGAACTCCTCGAAAATCCATTGCCTTCCGTTGTCCATTCTGTGGGGATAAATGTGCATTTCTGTTTGTTTTAATAACATTTGTAGGAGCTTTATATAGTGTCTATGTCTGCTTATATTAGACGCTGTGTATTATAGTTAAGAGTCTTTCACTATTTCCCATATAAACCTTATTTTTTATGGGTTTGGGAGAGCTCAGCTGTAAAAACTCTCTCGACTGAAAAAAATCTTTTTTCAAACAAATTAGGTTTAAATCAGGAGGCTGGTTTCAGACACTTTAGAACCTACATATTTTTTCTTCCCAGTCACTTTTCATTTAAAAATTAGATTGGCTGATTTCTTAGTTTCATTTCTTTTATGAGGATCTAGCAAGACCATGAACTTAGCTGCGGGCTGCCTAAAAGGAAGGGACGCAGAGCCTTCCCCAGGAGGGTCCTGGGGCCTGACGTGTGCAGACCGCCTTCTTCTGGCCCAGCTCATGCTCAGACTGGCTGTGGGGCCCTGCTGGGTCATTTCACTTCTCTGGGTCTTCTTTCTCCTTCTGTCCCCGAGGAGCATTGATTTCTGCCCTGCTCCCTCTAGTTTATGAGGAGAAAAACACGTTTATAGAAGCGAAAGTATCAAGGAAAGGTGAACACATTCTACAAACATTAGAGGCTGGTGCAAAGAATGACATACTGAGTTTTTCATCAGCAGAAAGTAGATCTTTTATAATCAGAGTGTTGCACTCAGAAAGGGACCTAGAGATTGAGGAGCCCACTCCTTTCTTATTCTAAGATGGGATCCACTCTGAGGACAGTGGAAGGGAGTTACAGGTAAAAGCTGGAGTTAGAACCCCGGATCTCTTCACAGACCTCCTCCTTTCTTTCTCTACCTTACTTTGGGGACCAATGAAGATCAGGCTAAGGAGACTGTATTTGTATACACACACGCACACAATTGGTGCCTGAGATGTGGGGGAAAACCAAAACCTCTGGAGGCAGCCAGACCTGCCCTTTGGTGTAAGCCCAACCCCCTTTTGCTGTCTGTGACCTTGAACAAAGTTCTTCACCTCTAAGCCTCAGAGGTTTCACCATTAACCTCATGCAATCTGGGTGAGGCTTAAATGAAATAATGCATTCTAAGAGCCTAAACAATTTCCTTAACAAATTTTAGCTATTACTCTTTTGCTTATTTCATGCATTAATAACTATATGGACTGTGCGGAAGAAATGATAAACTCTTCAAGAAAAATATTGAGCTATTACTGTTATGCTTATTTCATGCATTAATAACTATATGGACTGTGCGGAAGAAATCATAAACTCTTCAAGAAAAATATTTATTATGGTATATTAATTGGTGGTGATTATTAGCATTCTTTCTAATTCATTATGGTTATATCCACAGTGCCTAGCACAAGGTAGACACACTCAATCAATGTATGTTGAATAAAGTTTACTGAAAGTACCCTGGTCCCAGAAGAAATCAGAAGGAAATTGCAGCTTTATTTTTATTGTAAAAGAGATCCTTATTCATTGTAAAAAAAGAAAGTGAAAAATATAAGCGGGAGGAAAGTCAAAATTGTCCTTATTCCCACAACTTGGAAGTATACATGTTCTGATACATATTTTTCCACATTTTCCCCCACAAAATTTATTTAGCTAGTTGGTGTAAAGTAGGTCACAATGGACAGTCTTTAATAAACTGGGTTTGTTTTCCCCCTATAATATATCATGAACAATATCCATGTTGATTCCCACCTTTTTTCTAGCTTCTTGCTCAGCAGTAAACCACTATACTAATGAATTTGTTTAACCAGTTCTGTAATTATAGCACATCAGGGTCCTTTCCTATGTTTTGCTCTCTAGTAGCGTAGTCCTTTCGTGAAAGCTTTGTAACATCAGTGAGTAGTTCCTTAGAATAAATTCTTGGGATTTATTTTTAAGTTTATGACAATTCCACCGATTTTAAAACAAACAAAAGGTGATGTTCTTAAATCAAAAATAATAATGACACTGTTCTGCCACAGCTGGAATGAGGAAGGTTTCTGGCAAACCGCGCTGAGACTTGGGAGAGAATAAGAAAGTGATTTCAGGGATACAGGGCTAAAGAAGTGAGAGGCTTGGTACCCAGAAGAGGGGAGAGGAGCTGGACCCCGAGACTGGAGACCCTGGGCCAGACTTGCTCGTGAAACTTGGGAGCAGCCCCCTTACTCTCTGGGGGCTTGACCTTCCCATCTGGCGGTAAGGGCTGGAAATGTAGCTCGCGCCCTCCAGGCCCTTGGAGTAAGGCTTGGGGAAAGTGGGGGTAAGTCCCAGAGACCTGCTCCACGGGCACCAGCCCTCATCTCCGCTCCTAGGCCCTGGGTCTGATACTGGGACGGGACACCGAGGAGGCTGAATTTGGGGCTTCACCCCTGTCTTCGCTAGGAGAGTTTGGGATCAGCTAATGGGGTTTCCGTGGAGGCCTGCTTATGCCAAACTCGGGTCTGGCTTCGGCGGGCGGTACCCCTCGGTACCCTCTCTCCTTTTACTGGCCAAGGCTATAAGAAAGCAGGACCCGGGTGCGCATTCTTCCCGTGCCTAGGATACTTCACCCAGCTAAAAATAGTCGCGGGAGCTGCGCTCTGTGTTCAGCCAGAGGCTGGTCTGCAGACCAGGCTGGAGTCCTGGGTTCGAATTCAGGTAAGCTCCCTACGTGCTGAGGCACGCCGGCCTTCGGCTTGCTCCCGAGTCTCAGTTTCCCCACGCGTGTCAAGATTTCTAAGGGGCTTTCCAGCTGTTGAAAAGAGAAGAAATAAACCGAGTTTTCTGCTCCTCCCTGAAGGGCTTCGGGGCCTCGGGCTGGGGCTGGGGGAGGGGTGAGCGCGATCGGCTCATTACCGCGAGGTGTTGCCCTAGTTAAATAGCGGGCCTGTTTGATCTGGCGGCGGGTGGCGAGAGGAAAAAAAGAAAAAGGTAGGGGGTAGGAGTGGAGAGACGCTCACACCTCCCCCACGGTTTCCTCGCGCCCATAAAACACCTTTTATTAACTCCTTCGCGTCCGGGAAGGCCCGCGTGGCCGCGCAGCCCCTGCCACGGTGTTTACAGCCCGGACTAATGGTCCCCATATTCACCCCGATGCTGGGGCCAGACGCCCAGCGCACGCCTGATCCCGGAGCTGCCCGGGGTCCCCTTTCTCGGCCCCAAGCCCCAAGCCAAGGGCCTCCAGATCCGGATGTGGAGCAAGAAAGCGCCAAGTGACCCGCGCGCGTCCTCGAGCCTCGCTGGTGATGAGCGCCGGAGACCTGTGCCAGCACCGCCGATCCGGCGTCCGCTCGGGCAACCATGAGAGCTGTTAGAAGACGAGAAAGCGCTTAGCTTGGTGCCTAGCGCACAGTTGCGCGCAAAGCTAGTTATGCCTGTACACTAGTGTTTGGAGACACCTAAAGGCCCGTGTTTGCCCGCGCCAGTTTAGCTTAGCACACACCGGCCTTGACCAAGGCGCACTCTTTTGAACAACCCTATACCCAACCATGGGTGCGCGGGGGGCGGGGCGGGGGGCGGCAGAAACCAGCTCTTCTGCTCAAGTGCAAGAATTAATATGCACATAACCCCCATCCCTTTTGTACAAAACCATATGCTTTCACAAATATTTATTGTGGGAGAGAAGTCGAATTGTCTCAGTTTACCCACAAACACAAGCTTATTTTACTCGTGGATGAAATAATAGCTGCTACGACTTGTCGAGCCCCTACTCGGTGCTGGGAGCTGTGCTCGGCAGACCCTGTTCGGCCCCTGAACAGCGGAGGGGCTCCGGGTGAGTTCCTGCACCACAATACACACAAGTATATGTTCAGAATTTCGCACACACGAACATATTCCCGAAAGTGCCCCCTCTTCCGAGCTGCACTGCTCTGAGATGTGTTGGTATGTGTGACAAACCACCTTCCAGTTACCCCCAAACCAGTGCCTGCAGACACTAGTGTGCATTCCAAGACAAACCCAAACGCCGACCCCACATAAATGTTAGCAGGTCCTTTCTGGGTCTAATCCGTTGCCAGTTTTATTTTCTGTGAGTTCCCTAGAGTTATCCTGTCCTGCTAGTATATTCTAAAGAGAACTTTGTTATGCATTCCAGGAATAAATCTTTTTATCGGTCCCCCTCCCGTGATTTTATTTGTAGTTTGGATTGCCGTTTACCAAAAGAAAGGTAGGAACAGGAGGCTCTCCACCTAGCAGAAACCATGGAAAGGGTGGGTTTACCCACCAAGACATCACACAGGCTTCCTCTGATTTCAGAAATTCTTTTATTAGTCAAGAGCATAGATACTGCTTTGGCAAAGGAAGGGGTCAGTGAGTGGTCATATAGATTTGAGGTAGAAAAAGGGTAGGGATGGAGGAAAAAACAAATACCTGAGCACAGCAGGCATGGTAGGTAGTTTAAATACATAAAAACTTTTCAACACAGGGAAAAGTTTTTATTTACAAAGATAGAGGGAAAAAATGAAGCAAGGAGAAAGAGAAGTGAGAACGGAACAAAGAAGGACGGAAGAAAGGAAGAAAAGGAAGGGAGAGAAAGAGACAGAGGAAGGAAAGAAGGAAGCGTTTTCCTTGGAACTAATTTAAGAAGTGCAGCGACAACAAATAAAATAAAATAAAATAAGATAAAATAAAATAAAATAAAATAAAAACACCACTGCTTGAAGGAGGACAAAAAAGACAGCCTTCCGTCTTCCTGGTTTGCTTCTCTTTCCCTGGCAGAAAACTATTGATTCCTCTTATTGCATTTTAATTAGGGAAAAGAGCCCTCGAGGGTTTTGACACGAAGCGGAGAGAGGATCGAAGAAGAGAGCCAGAGAGCACAGCGGGGAAGGAAGGCGTTGGGGTTTCTGAATTTGCCCGGATGGGTCGGAAGGGTGCGTTTCAGCGCGCTTGGGTCCCGCAGTCCCTCCCTCCCGCAACGTGCAGTCAAGAGCTGCCGTCTTGGTTGCGGGGGTTGGATATATATATATTTCTCTTTCTCTTAATGTATTAGAAACAATTTCAAATGACATTGCACGTGCGATCCAAGTGTGTTGATGCAGCCAGCGACCGGCCAGCGCGCAGCGGGGTGCGGCCCTAGACACCCCCGGAGCGCGGAGCCCGGCACCCGCCGCCTTCCTCTGCTCCTGGGGCTCTGGGCTCGCACAGCCGCGGCGGGGTCCTCGGCGCGGCTGCGGCTCACTGGTTTAGCTCCAGCGCCCAGACTTGCTGCGGCCAGCCTGTGCGCCCCTTAATCCTCTTCTCGCCGGGGCCCAGGGCGGGAGGGAAGCCTTCGTGCTGCTGCTGCCGGAGACACACATAAGAGAAGAGGCGAGAGACAGGTTTAGATTTTTCTGCTCCGACCGCCTGGGCATAGAGTGGGGGTGGGGAAAGGTAACTGGAAGCCTTTGAGTAAGTGACGGTTTTCTGTTGGCCAAGTAGGCAGGCAGGCTTATAAATTTGCCTTTATGTGCCGAGTTCCCGGGGACCGGGATGGGCTGGGCGGCTTCTGCAGATCTGGTAACGAGAATTTTCTGTGCCTGGTGAATTTGATGCTGCTAGTTTTGGCTTTATGGCACCAAAGGAAACAAGTTTTCCCGCTTGCGAACCTGATTCCCCAACAGGTCCCGTCAACTTTCCAACTTAGGTTGGCGTCGGGGCTTGCACACTGAGTTGTTTTCCCTGGAGCCGGCGCTGGGAGCCTCAGAGGCCTAGGTGAAGGCGAGGGGAGTCGGCCAGGCCCAGCATCCCTGTCCCCGCTCTCTAAGCTGGAACCAAGCGGTGCTACTTAAAGAGGCGGCGACGCGCTGAAGGGGGAGGGGGGATACGCCCAATAACTGCCTTCCCCGAGGCGTCGCCAAGGCCTTGCACCTCTTCCAGCCCAGGGCGGCGGTTCAGAGACTCGATGCCTATCTGTCTTTCCCAGTCTTCCCAGGTGAGAGTTCCCTAGTTTACCGTGGCCCCCGAGGGTCCGAGAAAACCAGGCAGGGCCCTCCAGTCAGCTCCTGAGGCAGGCCTGAGAGCGCCGAACTGGACCAGTTGTACAGTCTGGCAGTCACCCCTCTCAGAGGTCCCACGGCCCTGGGCCAGCAGAATCGAGCTCCAGAAAGTTTTGCCCTCAAGAGAATCGAGAGAGGCCGAGTAGGGATTGCCATCTCCAGAGCCAAAAAGTGTTGGTGAGACTTACGGCTCTTGACTGTTGGTGTTTACACACTAAACCATCAAGGTCCGCCTTGGCTTGGAACCGTCCTGTGGGAGTGGAGCAGTGGAAGGCGCTCTGGACTGCGGGTAGAAGACCTGACTTGTTTTACCCCAGCTTCACTTCTGACTCTCTGGGAAGGTGGCCTTCATGTCCTGTCCCACCCTGGTCTCCTGGGATAGGAAACCACCTGGACCTCGTTTTCCCCACCTGTACAATGATGTAAGTAGACACCCCTCCCCAGCAAAAGCCCTTTGAAAGAGTTAGAGTCCATAAGCATAAATTCACACTAAAGCAAAAATTAAAATAATGAACTCTTACAGCGCTCTTAACCTGGCTTCCCGGAGAGCCCAGGGATGGATCTGGACCCCTCAAAATTGGAAGCGAAATACATGATGTGTGCATTTTCTCGGGAGCTGAAACTTCCAACGGATTCTGAAAAGGAACCTTATGACCCTCTCTGAGGTTAGGATTCTGTCTTCATTCAGTCTTATAAAAACCCTTCCCCACAATACAAATTAATTCAAATATGAACATGCCTCCCTTCACCCACACAATCCCACCACTGCAACCATCTCAGAACTCCCCGTAGCCTCTCAAAATCGCACATTTGGCAACGCAGACTCCTTCCAGGGTGCACACAGCCTGCGGGTGCTCAGTGAGCCCGCGCCCTTGGCTGCAGCCTACAGGCCTCCGGACTTACCAGCTCCCTTTTCCGTTTGCTTTCGCGGCCGCCATCCGCCTTCTTGAGTTCGGCCTTGAAGGCTTCAGGGTCGCCGGCCTGCGCGTCCTTGGCCAGCACGTCCATCAGGTAAGCGATGTAGCTGGTAGCTAGGCGCAGAGTCTTGATCTTGGAGAGCTTGGTGTCTGCAGGCACGTTGGGGATGCACTCGCGCAGCTCGGCGAACGCGCTGTTAATGCTTTCCGTGCGCCTCCGCTCCTTCTTGGGTCCTGAGCCTTTCCGCCGGCCCAGGCGGCCGCCGAGCGTCTCCAGCCGCCCGGGGCTCTGGCCTGGCCTGGCGTCCGGATTGTACGCGGCGGCGGCCGCCGCGGCTGTGGGCGGTGGCCCGCCGGTGGGGAAGTCCGGGGCAGCGTCAGCGGGGCTCAGCAGCCAGCTCTGGAAGTAGGGCCGCTCCTGGTGACAGCGTGAGGCCGGGCCGAAGAGGAAGGGCTCGTGGAGCATGGGGTGCGCGGGGTGCGGGTGGTGATGGTGGTGATGGTGATGATGGTGTGCGTAGCTGCCCACGAGGTTCATGTTGGAGCGGCCCCTGGCCTGCGCCGCCAGCTCGATTAGCGCCGCCCCATGCGCCCCAGAGACTGCCGGGGCCACCCGTGGGCTCTGGGGCGGCGCTGTGGTGGGCGCCGGCTTTAGGAGAGTCCGCGGCAACGCTGAAGACAAGACGCGCAACCCCGCTGCCTTCTTGCCTGTTTCTGTCGCTGGCGAGGACGCCAATGCAAAGAGACCTGTTTAACCCTTCTGCGGCCTCCCCTCCAGGGCCTGGCTTATATAAGGCCGCGGCTTTGATGTCAACTTCACCCTAGAACCAATGGCAGGGGGGCGGGGAGTAGGAAAGGGGGGTGGCCGTCCCTGGTTTTAAGCTTAGCTTGCTCCACTCGCCTCTAGGCCGCCTTCGGGGACGGGGAGGCAGCCACGCCTCCCCATCCCCCACTCCAGTTCCCGGCTTGGGGGAGGCTGGGGCTACATACTTGAAACACAGGCCTGTCAACGCCCTGGTCGGTGGCTGCCACCCCATCTCTACTGACCCAAGGAAAAGAATCTAGAATCATTGAGCGAAAAGGCCTTCAACTAGAGCCCACGCCTTTGATTTTACAGATAAGGATACTGAGGCCCAGAAAAAAATTCTAGTTTCTAGACTGCAGAATTCAAAATAGGAATTACAGTGGCTCCCAATCCCGAGATCCATATGCTCCACTCCACGGCAGGACCAGAAGTTGGGAGGCAGGATAGGCCCTAACATTTCTCCCTGAGCACCCCCAGCCCTTAGTCATTGCCACATCAGGCGGTATTGGGAGCAGTTTGTGTACCTAGCAGCGCATCCGCCAACACTGGTCAAGTCGTGTATAAAACCGAGCTGACAACAAATGAAGGGAGAAGGATCCTGGGGGGCCGGGGTGGTGGTGGTGGAACCCTGTGGGAGTAAAAGCCCACAGACATTTACTCTGGTTCCGGACTCCAGGGCCTGAGATCCACTCTTCTCACCTCCTGGGAGTTTGATCCAGTCCAAAGGGCTGACGCAGTGGAGGTCTCCTCTCTTCGGGACTCAGACGGAGCACGGCTAAGTTGGGCACTCCGCTTGAGCATGTTCCATTGTCTAAAGACACCGCGAGAAAGCGTTTGGCGGTAAACACGGAGCAGACGAAGACCTCCACACTCTACGCGAGGCTTGCACAGCAGTAGAAACACAACGCTTGGCATCTCACACCCACCCACGCAGAGCGATGGTCCTGGCTGCAGAAACCTCTACTCCTTTCAGTCCCGGTCGGGGCCATTCCCCGCCTGTTGGATTCTTTCCACGGGGGGCTTTCCCAGGGCTCGTATTCGGGACCTGGAGATCCCGTGTCGCGGTGCTTGGCAGCTGGAGTTCTCAGTCTAACCTGTCCTTGCGGTAGCTTCTCAGCTGACGTCCTCAAACCCGAGTACCTCCATCCTCACCAACCTCTCTCAGCCAACCCTCTTCCCAAGGTGGGGTAGAAGGAGTGTGCCTTTCTCTCAAAAGCAATATCGAGGCAGGGTGAAAAAAGAAGGTAAATATACGACCGCACTTTTTAGAATGCAAATACCTTCCTTCACCCATTCACTCAACAGTTATTTATTGATCACTGTATGTGTGCCTGGCTCAGAGGAAGGAAGGTCAACTCATTGTACAGATAGGAAAAGAGAGACCCAGAGAAAATGAACGTAGCGAGTGTGGATTCGTGGTATTCCTCCCTGTACACAGGAATAAATGGGTAGGGGACGAGACACTAGAGCCGGGCCAAACTCTTGGTCCAGAGCGGTTCCACTTGTGGGGGCCCCGCAGAGCTGTGGGCCCTAGAGGTGCGTGGGGGAGGGGCTCCTGGTTTCTTGCCTGAGGCGGGCTGGAAACCCGCCGCGCTCACGGGCGCCTGGCGCCAGCAGCGCTAGGGTAGGGCCGAGCTCGGAGCCGAAGGCTTCCTGGGAGGGAGCGCCCGACGCCCGGTTCAGCAGCAGCTCCGCGGGGTCCCGCGCCTCCCTGGCCTGGAGGCGTTCTTGAGAGAGAGTGTGCATGAGAGAGAGTAGTTACTCCGTTCACGACCTCAGTCTTCAACATACACTCAGCCTTCGTCCTAATCCAAGCACAATCCTCACCTGCAGCCTCTCATAGTGGCACAATTGAACCTACGATTTCACATGCACATGGGCTCACAAATAATCATTGGTATACACAAAAACCCACATATTCATATGGGCACCAAAGAGTATGCGTATTCTCTTGGTGACACATTTACATGCAGAGGACCCACAGCATTTCAATATTCACGCATTCCTAGAATTGTACTCATTATCTCTGTCACCCACAGGGCACACATCACCAGATGTGTGACAGCTAGGAGCCACTCCTAACCCTACACGCAGGCATGCTAAAGATACCATCATACAGTAAGGCACATAAATTTTACATAAATATTACACAGCTGCAGGGAGTTACACATAGTCTTACTGTCACAGTTGTGCACGGGTACAACCAGTTTATATCCTTTTACAATTCCCCATAATTGTATTCACAGGACAAACTTCCCAAAATGACATCATACATTACATATATTCTTAGTGGTGCAACTAAACTCTCAGGTCCACGAACATATCCAGGTACACACAACGTCACTATCACTACTATATATGCACAGGTGCTCAGAAATAGGCATGATCACATGTTCATATGATACACAGAGGCACACAGATTTCAAACACTCAATTTGACATATATTCTCTCTCCCATATAGCCGCAATCCCAAGCCCTAGAAATGAAGTTGAACAATATATGCATATTGTCACAGCACTCACATAGGTACACGCAATTCTACCCCCCTACTCACAAACTCACAGCTCCAGCACCCACCCACATGTGTCCCAACTGCTTTCTCCCACACAAATCACTGAGAGCAGTATACACTCCCCAGATATCTGGCCTGTTTAGTGCTCTAGGGAATGCATTATCAGTACTGGATGAAGTCCCAGTCCCATGAGACATTTTAAGGGCCCAGGAGAGAGAGCACCTGGCAGCTTCCCGTGGATGACTTAGTTAAATAGCAAGGTGCTCCAAGCCACCTGGGCCACAGGAAACTCTGCTCCCACCTCCCTGTGTGGGAGTCGCATTGTCAGCCCAGCGGTGCCTGTACTGGGAGGGGAGCCTGGAGGCCCTGGGGACCCGCTTGGGCTCTAGGTTGAGTGACCTGAAGCAGGATGGATTGCCAGTGAGATTGCCTGCTTAGATGGCAAGGTACCTAGCCTCCAGACTTGGCCTTCTGGAAGACCCCAAAGTGTTTTTAACTCCAGCCTGAACTCAGGTGTGTTTGGAGTATGGTAGAAGGTGACAGTGGGGACCCTGGTAAGGATGTTCTCTCTCTCCACCTCAGGCTAACTGGTGTAGGGAGCAGTCTGGAATCCAGGAGTTTGGCCGAAATTGCCCCAGTCTGATAGGCAAGGCATATGCCTTGAGTTCTGGCTCTGTCTAGCATTTCACTGTGTTCCTTTTTCTCTCTGAGCCTCAATTTCCCCAATTTCTGAAGAAGAGGAGAGGACTGACAGTCTGGAGTCCGTAATTCCCCTCTCCTGGCTGTTGCACGGATCCAGCCCTGGTTCCTCTCCCTGGACGCACGGACTTAGCGCTCGGCTCTGGGGCCTGGCTGGGAGGACCCCAGTCTCCCCCGGCCCACTTCCACAGGTGAAGGACCAGGAGCAGGGACTCTTGGGGCGGGGGGCGGGGTGGGGGGAAGAAAGGGGTGTGCTCCCTGCCAGTCCCATACTCCCCCATCCCGCTTTAGTTCCGTGCCCCGCAGTGCTCACCCAGACACCGCCTTCAGGTCTGGCGCTCGGAGCATTTTCGCGCTTCTTTCCTTCAGCTGCGCTAGTGAGGTCGGGCAGAACCCTCACCCCATTTCACAGGGTAGAGAACTCTGTACAGAAAGGTTAAAAGCTGTATTAAAGGAGGACTTAAGAGAGCCTGGCTAGGGAATCTGGCGCACCTGAGAGGAACCCAGCACTGCCTTCCTCCCCGGGTGATCCTTCAGATCCTGCTTCCTCCGCTGTAAAATGAAAGACAGTAGCCTCCCAGAGGCTGGTTTTAAGATTCCGCGAAATAATATAGCACAGTAACAGTAAACTTGGATAAATGGTAGCTCTGCTTTAAGGATGAATTTAACAGGGGAAGGAGTTACATGCGCCCACACGACTACATAGCCCTGGATAGGGAGGGGTCAGGCCGCGGGGCTCTGCTCACAGTGCCGCGTTTTGATCTAACCAAGCCTGTTTTGCCCATGTTCGAGTCCTTCTCTTTTCAGAACTTCCCTACAGAAGGCCACTGTCACGGCTGGAGGTGGGGGAAACCTAGCATTGCCCGCCGTGGGGATTGTGTTGCTAGAGACCTGAATTCCAGTTCCAGATCCCACCCCGTACGCCTTGCATTTCACTGGCTGTGTGGTTTGGAGAGGGGGCGGGGGAAGGCGGGTTCCTGCCTCCCCCAGGACTCAATTTCCCCATCTGTACAGTGGACCGGCTGTACTCGAGCCTCTGAGCAACTGCGGCCTCTACCGTGGATTCCCGCCCCTGCACTCCGCTCCTCCCTTCACTATGCCCCCCGGGACTGGCAGGCCTCGGAAAGCCTGCGCCACGGCGCCTACCGCAAAACCTTCTCCCGCCCCGTCCCGTGACCTTGACGCCACCGGCAATCCCCGCACCGGACCCCTTATCTAAATAGGGCCGTAAATCAAGGACCTGTCAGGGAGCGGGTAATTACAGGAACTCCATAAAAAGGACCCGGCCGGCCGCCTGTTTATATTAGCGCGGTGTAAAATATTCTCGCTGTCTTGGGGAATCGCGTCTCGCAGTAACGCGCCATAAATCAGCCCGCGGGCCATTTACCCCGCAGCTTGAGAGCGCAAATCCCTTAAACATTTCTCTGCTGTATCTAAAGAGTGTCTAAGACTTTCCAATCTAGGTCAACCTGCTGCCAAGGACCAAAGGACAGGGCACGGAGGAGACAGAAAGCGAGTTGATTTCTCCTAAAAGCTCATAGGGTGAGAGGCCTCTAGCCTCCGCTGGTTTGGGGGAGTACCAAATCTCTTGAGAGATCGTGTTAGGACCAATGGGGAAACCGGCCTAGAGAAGGTAAGGGGCTTCCCTAAGGCACACAGCCAATGAGTGGCAGAGACCTGGCTAGAGCCCAAACCTCTAGGGAGACCACGTTTCGATGTCAACCCATCTCCTCTTAGTACCCCCTTTCCTGGTCCGGGTCTCCTCTTAGTACCCCCTTTCCTGGTCCGGTCAGAGAGGGCCCAAGCTACAGGCTGACGTTCTATTCTCCACCTTTTAGCTTCTGGGGTCCCTGAGCTTTCTGTAACTGTGCACAGAATTATGTATGGATACTCTAGTGTGCAAACCTCTGATTCCCACGCGATCCCCTTGTTTTAACGGTGGCAAAACATAGCCCATATAACTAGAAATCGAATACCTTCCGTTGTTAAAATTATCCATTTTTGTTTATCTCCCTCACACTCCTTCCTAAAGAAAAACTGAGGAGCGGGGTGCTGTCCTTAAGTTTGTAACAGCCTCAAAAATACAAAATCTATTTAAGTTGAATCTGACGCTGCCCATTGTGTAATGAGTAAAATCAAGCTTATGGAAAAAGAATATTAAATTTTCCGTGTCTTCCCTTGGGGGCTGAAACCTGGGGATTCAGAGGGAGAATTAAACATCTTCCTCCCCCATTCCCTTTCTCTTCCGAAGTCCGTAAATGACAACGTGTTTACACAAGTTTTTATGTCGTCTGAGCTTCGTCCCGGCTCCGTTTCCTCCTCTGTGTATTTTCCGCGCAGAGA